TTAAAATATCTTTCCAGGCTGATCTGTAGATGTAGCACAGTATCAATCAAAATCCCAACAGGCTTTCTTTGTAGAAATTGATATTTATTCTAAAATTTATACAGAAATCCAAAGGATCTAGAATAGCCAAAGCACTCTTAAAAAAGAGCAAAAAAGTTGGAAGGCTAACTTTTCATGATTTCAAGATTTTTAAATAAAGCTTTAGTAATAAAGACTAACACAGTATAACAATAGACATATAGCCCAGTGTAACATAATAGAACTTCCAGAATTTGGCCCGCATGTATGTAGTCAGTTGACTTTCAACAAAGTTGCTGAGGTAATCAATAAAGAAAGGATAGTCTTTCCAACATTGAACTGGGACAACTGGATATTCATATGGGGAAAAATGGACACTAACTAAACAAAAAGCTAAAACTATAGAAGGTTAGAAGAAAACACAGAAAGTGCTTGTAATTTTGCATAGGCACGTCTCTTTGGTCACAGAAAACATTAATTGTCAAGGGAAAAATTGTCAAATTTATTACAATTTTTGCTTTCCTAATAACACTTAAAAATAAATGAAAAAGCAAGCCATACTGGGGAAAAAATATTTGCAGATCGTGTCTGATTAAAAACTCGTATCTAGAATATATAAGGAACTCATATGATTCAATACAAAGGAGAAAGACAACCACCTCTCAAAAAAAAACAAACCAAATTTAAAAACAGCCCCAAAATTTGAAGTTTTTGAAAAAAGATATATGAATGGCAAATCAATACATAAAAGATGCTCAACATCATTAGTCATCAGAGTAATGTCCATTAAAATCCTAATACAATACTACTTGACACCCATTTTAAGGCTAAAATTTAAAAGACTGACCATTCCAAGTGTCGATGAGATTATGGAGCTCCTGGAACACTCATACATTGCTGATGGGAGGAATGTACAGTGGCACAACCACTGGAAAAAATTGGCCCATTTCATATAAAGGTAAATGTAGGTTTACTGTATTTAGTGATTCTACTCCTAGGTGTTTTCACAAGAGAAATGAAAATCTATGTCAATTAAAAGGAAGACTTTTGCTAGAATGTTTATTGCTGCTTTATTTATAACTGCCGAAATTTGAAAACCTGAATGTTTATCAGGAGATGAACAGCTAAACTATTATATCCACAGAAAACTTACTGACAAGTACGTAAAATAGGTTTCAAATGGAGATGAAATCAGACTTCTTAGTGGAAAATGAACAAAGACATGATCAGGAACACATAAACCAACTCTTGGCCCTACCCAGGGTTCCAGTTCTGGTTCCATCTTGGAAATGACAGTTGACTCCTGCTCTTGCCCTTTTATCTATCCTGTCTGCTTAACTCAAAGTCCCAATCTAATGAGAACAGAATACTGCTCAGCAGGAAGAAAGGAGCAAACTACTACTACCCACCAGCATGGGTAAATCTCACAAATATTCCAAAGTAAAAGAACCCAAACACAAAATGATACATGATATATGATTCTAGTTATATGTAGTCCTAGAATGGGCAAAAGGAACCTATCATGACAGAAGGCAAATCAGTGGTTGTCTGGGGTGAGGGATTGACTGCCAATAGATACAAGGTTAACATTTTTGGATGATGAAAATAATATACATTTGATTTTGTGGTGAATACAAAGATATATACATTTGCCAGCATGCATCATACTGTATTTTTTACATGGGTGTATTTTATAATATGTAAATTACACTTAAATAACATTTTCTTTATGGCATAGCCCTCTGTGACTTTCCCCCCTTTCTCCCTTAAATTCAGACATCTTTATCAATTTACCATAGTTTTTTTTTTATTCTTTTATTACTCCTTTTTTTAATTTTCCTCCTTGCGTTTTAATAGGTTATAAGCTCTTATTCATCTTTGTTTACATTATAGCACCTCACTTATTGTAACCTTTCAATACACACAAAAAAAGAGTTATCAGTTATTGCTTTGATTATAATTCTGAAGTCTAAAAAGAATCGCAGTCCTAGATATTAGCAAGGCAAGGCTCTATAGCAGCTACGAATTGATAGTAAGCATCTTTAGGGCAATCTTAATCTTACTCTTTAGGGCAATCCCAATTTATATTCAATCTCACTGGGTGGTGAATACATGAAAGATGAGTATTCCTGGGCCCTATGGGAAGTTGTCTTTGAAGCAAGGTGAATGAATGAATGAATTAAAATAACACAAGACACCTTGTCCTGGTTGCAAAGACCTGGAGGATGTAGGTAGACTAAATGACAATGTGTTTAATTCCAGTAATAAATGAAAATCTGATAGAATCACAAATTTTGTGCTAGAAGTTACCATGGATACCATTTAGTCCAATCCATTATTATACAGATCCAGAAAGGATAAATAACTGTCCAGAGCCACACAGCAAATAAGAGATAGGGTTAAAACTGGAACCCAGGTTTCTACAGTCTCATATCAGGTATTTAACAAAGTAGAGAACTGGCTACCTGTGGAAATTCTAATGAGTAGTCCCTTTGACAAGAGCTCTCATTAGGTTAGGACTTTGAGTTAAGCAGACAGGATAGATAAAAGGGCAAGAGCAGGAGTCAACTGTCATTTCCAAGATGGAACCAGAACTGAAACCCTGGGTAGGGCCAAGAGTTGGTTTATGTGTTCCTGATCATGTCTTTGTTCATTTTCCACTAAGAAGTCTGATTTCATCTCCATTTGAAACCTATTTTATGTACTTGTCAGTAGATTTTCTACAGTAAGAATATACCATAGCTTGGTGAAAAGGAATTAGTTCATAACCCAGAATATTGGTGAATTCCACAGGCATGTTAAAACTAAGTGGAGTGGATCCCTCTCTCAAACCATTCCCTTTTGTTCCTTGTTCCCTGTTGTGTGTAAATTTATTGGGGATTGAGGGTGGCAACAGTTGCTAAATTGCATTTCACTGGTTTTGAGTTTCATTTTTTAAGGACAATATGAAATCAGTTTTATAATTAAAGTGAGTTTAAGCGGTCATTTTGAATTATAATGATGAAGGACATTGAGATACAAAAGGAAGCTTTGAAAGCTACAGCAAAGCTTGCTCCTTAGATGAATCCTTTGAATGAAAGAATAATAGCGTGGATGGTGATGATGAAGGAATAGGAGCTGCTGCTATTTAATGTATTCTCCACTCTCAGTATATGGATGCAGCCTCCAAATTTTACAAAGGAAATAATCATCAGCACAGCATCTCTCCTCTCCTATGGATTGGTCTTTTTGTAAAGCCGCTTCTTGGTTTTCTCAGTAAAAGTATTTTATTTTAAAATATATCTCTAGACACTTACTTCGGGTAGGCCTGGGAAAATGTAGATTACTTCATTTCTCTTCAAAATTCCTTTCAAAGAGTTGAGCTCAATTTATGTTTTTGAGATAGAGAAGAGGAGTAGATTGGAGGAAGGAGAAGATCTTAACTTTGCTTTGGAGGAGGAAAAAAATCTTTCAGTCCTTTGTTGACACCTTAGCTTCTGCATTAATCATATGTCCCTTTCCTCCTGGGCCATGGGAGGACCAGAGGAGTAGTGGCCATGTGCTATTTTGTAAAGGGACAGTGCAAAGAAAAGAAAACAGCTGATAAAAATATAGAGCTCCCCATCCCCCTGGGTCTTTATGGTTGTATTTTAGTTTTTTTGTTTATTGATCTTTAGAGAGAGAGAGGAAGATGGGGGAGGGGAGAAAAGTAATGCATCTACTTATTTATGCATTCATTGGTTGCTTCTTGCATATGCCCTGACCAGGGATAGAGCCTGCAACCTTAGCACATTAGGACAATGCTCCAACCAACTAAGCTACCCAGCCAGGCCAATGCTGTTTTTTAACTAACATCAAAAATAATGAAATAAAAAAGCAAAAATGGAGGCCAAATATTGTGAAATGATTGATGGATCTAAAAATACAGCTCTAGGCCCTGGCCAGGTAACTAAGTTGATTAAAACATCTTCCTGATACATGAGGGTTGCAGATTTAATCTGCAGTCAGGGCACACACAAGAATCAACCAGTGAATACATAAATGGGTACAATAACAGGTTGATCTCTGTCTCTCTCTCTCTCTCTCTCTCTCTCTCTCTCTCTCTCTCTCTCTCTCTCTCTCTCTCTCTCTCTCCCTCTCCCTCTCTCTGTCTCTAAAATAAATTTTTCAAAAAACAGTACTGAATTTCTAGCCCTAATCGTGAGATAGTGTTCAAAGTCTTAATTTTTTTGTAAATGTTATAATGAAAGTCAATTACAGAGGGAAGCTAGTGGAACAGTTAATATTGATAATGGAATGAAAAACCTTTCCTGTAACTACTTGGATCTGAAATGGGGTGGCGGCTATGAGTTAACTGACAATAACAATAGAAAAGACAGTGTGGGAGCACTCAGTAATGAGTAGCTCTCAGAATAGCCAAAGGTAAAGGGTTGTATACCAACCTAACAAAGGAGAGGATTTAGGGCTTCTGAAGATGGAAGGTTTTGATGATACTTGTTTACAAAATTTTTTTTTTTTTTTTTTTTTTTTTTTGGAATGTCCTAATACTCAAGGTCAGTGACTTCCCTGGTGGCAAACCTCTAGAGCGGCGGTAGGGAGGGTGGCCATGGTCACTGACTCTCAAAGCTCTGCTATAGTCAGATAAGGAAGTTCAGATAAAGATTTCTTTCTGCCTCTGCTGTTAGGTTTTTGATCCCTTCACCGATTTTCTTATATTTATTTATAATTTGATGGTTTTCAAAACATTTTCACATATCTCATAGAATTGTTTTTAGGTAGATAAGACAAATACTATTCCTTTTTTATATGTAAGGAAACTGAGGTTAAGTATTTGTTTATAGCCACACAGGTAATAATGAAACCAAGATAAGAGGTTAAGGCACTCATATCTCTCACTACATTTTTGGGGTCCAATTTCAGTACTAAGAAATTGAATAATTTATTGTCAATCCATAAGTGTTTTAAAGGTGTCAAGATTAAGTAACATTTTATTTATTTTGTAGGAGAAGATGGTGTAAACTGGTTCATCAGTGACAAAGACATTGAGGTAAAATCAAATTGTTTTTGAAGTTATGAATAATAGATTAATGGTTTTTTTGATTCCTAGTTTCCTTATGATAACTTTAATAAACTTTTTAAAAATAGTGACAGCCTGAGTACCTTATAAGAAAAAGTTTGATTTCCATTTATGGGTAATTGAATTTTTCAGGAGCATGGTTCAGGCCTTGATTTTTGCCAGCCAACTAATTGCCATAATGAGTTAGTCCCCTTTCCCTCCTGTTTCTTCTCTGTGGTGGTGAGTCTTAGCTCATACTGCCTGGTACCACTAAAGATCAACGCCGGAAATAACCGCTTCTTCAGGGTAAGGAAATGGTTAGGCTATATTTAGGATGCGGCAGGTGTTTATTAGCCTTAATTGTGGCAGATGGCTAGAAAAAAAAATTTTTACATGTCGGTAGAAGAGAAGTTTTAAGGGATAATTAGTTTCAGATGTCTTGGGGCCTAGTTGGCCAGTTCAGCAAAATAACAAGTAAAAGATGAAAGTTTTTTCATAGGTGAATTTCTACCAAAAAGATAAAAGCATGTTTGGCATTTATATATTCCTCTGTAGGTATCCATATGATATGCTTTGCTAATATTTTCTTTTAAGATTTTGGCATTTGGCTAGAATTGGGTCATTATAAGCAGAATGGATTTTCACAAGGACTCTGGTAGAAGGAAATTAATCTCATTTTCTTAGAAATCATAGTCTAGTTTATAGGCAGTAACCTTAGGCTATTCAGTAGAAAGAATGCAGCTTTGTAGTTTTGTAATTTTTTTTTTATAATTCTCTTTTTATAAAGAATTTATAAAAAGAATTCTCTTTTTATAAAAGAGAAATTCATTTAAAAAATGCCATTCCCTAACTAAAAACTCAAGCATGCTTCTCATTCAGAAAAATATGGTATACGTTCAGACATAGAAGTCAGCAATACCTTGACACTGAATGCCATCAGAATGTCTGATGCCTGTCAGTGCCCTTGCTAGACCTGAACTGTAAGTAGAGAAAGGTTTAAAAGAAATAGAACCATATGGAGAATGTAAAAGAATTGGGGGGAGAGGACAGACAAAAAATAGAGTTGTCTTTATAGCCCTACCTTTTACTTTTTTCTAACTCCTTTTAAGTACACAGAGTTTGATGTTACTGGGTTCTAAACTGACCTGACTATGATTTTTCATTTTCTTGAACAGAGTGAAATAGTTTTTTTTTTTAAATTCTCAATTTCTTTTTCCTTAGGCCCAGATAGGTAATAATAGATCATCTGGAAGATGGACCCACCGATACTATACGGCGAACAAAAACGTTACCTGTAGAAATTGTGACAAATGTGGCCATTTGTCAAAAAACTGCCCCTTTCCACAAGTATGTAGAATATGTAATGTTTCTTTCTACCTTGTTAAAATCAAAATCCTAGTACTGAAACCCTGTAACCTTAGAATTCAGATCTTATGTAATATATGTGTTAAATTTCTTATTAATTTTTCATGTAGGTCATACCCTAGAGTAGTAGTAGAGAAGGAACAATAAATTTAGAGTCAAAAAACCTGGAATCCATTTCAGCTTCCCATCAGTAGTTGGAAAACTTCAGGCAAATCATTTCATTCTTGTCTATAAAATTAGAAAACTGAATTGGATGATCTCTGAGACCCCTTTCACTTCTAAACCTTCTATTTCCATCAGTTTATTTCATCATGGGATAATTTTCATTGTTAGAAAATTATAGTTTTAGGCATTTATAAATGTTTACTGATGTAAATTATATTAAACATACATCAGATACAGATAGCTTATGTTAAAGCTCTGAATTCAAACATTTTATTTTATTTTATAATTAGGGTCCAGATTCTGCCTTCATTGGGGTCTCAAATTGGAAATAACTTTTTATGGAATTACACAGAAAAAGAAAAAATGATCTTCTGCTAAAGAGATTTTCTGTTTGTCTGCCACATAGAAAGTTCGTCCCTGCTGCCTCTGCTCGGAGAGAGGACACCTCCAGTATGCCTGTCCAGCCCGCTTTTGCTTAGACTGTTCTTTGCCTATGTCGTCTACTCACAGATGTCTTGAAAGACCTTCCTGGAGAAAACGATGTGACCGATGTGATATGATAGGCCACTATGCTGATGTAAGTAGTCTCCATATAACTAATTTGTCAGGCTTTGGGGGCAATCTGTCAATTTGGAACTGTCAGCCTACCTAAAAGAATGTTTACTCTGTACTGTGTATAATGATAGTCATGTCCCTTTGGTCACTGATCATGTAAAGCAGTGCTCTAGTTTATCAGGATAGGGATGCTACAGGATGGTTCATGAGAAGGCAGTGTCAACAAATATTGTAAAGTCCTACTAGCCCTTTTGCTTAATGTGCTTGCTGAATAAAACTTGAAATTAAAGAGATATGTAATAAACAACATCAAATTTATGTACATATTCATGCATAGTTAGATGAAGTATATACACACAACAGTTGTGTACAAGAAATCTGTAGGAAGTATAGTTTGATGCTACTTATTGATGGCTTTTGCTGGTAGAGTAGTCTTATGCAAGAAGGACAAACAACCAGTACTTCCAAGTACTCTGCTCATTTTAGTTCTTTCTTTAGAAGTTGTTTTTTAAGGTAAATTAGAAGGCATTTCAGTTACTTACAGCACATTAAGTTTTAGCACATTGTTATTTTGGACATCATTTTGCATCATATTATAAATGTCTGTGGGGTTCCAGTCACAATTTTAAAGACCAGAAAAGCTATAGAAAAAGCAAGAACCTTTTCTCTTTAATTTGTACCTCCCAAAGACATAATGCAAAGCACAAACATTTTTCTTATTTTATTTATAATTGAAGTGTACTTGATAGCCTGTTGCTCAAAAAATTAACATGGTTTTCTGTCGAGATGAATTTCATGTTAAAACAAACTAGAATTTGAATGGGTGGTGTGTTTCTTTTGTAAATAATACAATTATTGATTGTAATTTTTAAATGAATAAAAATAGGATTACTGTTCTATACACTGACATACAACTTGATTTTTTTTTTCCACTTAGGAAAATTTGTCAATCTGTTTCTATCATCTCATAAAGATGTACCATTTGACCCAGCCATTTCTCTACCAATAATTTTAGATTTATATTGTTATATTTGATATATTATTAGCAAACAGTGCTCCAATAAACATCTCTCTCTATATGCATACATGTAAGAGTAATTTGGTAAGTCAAGCTCTAAATACAATTGTGTAATTAAAGGATATATACATTCAAGTCTGGATAAATATTGTCAAATTGCTGTTCTAAAAGACTGTACCAATATATCCATCTGCCAGCAGTGTTTAAGAGTTCTCTCATCATTAACTATTATCTGCCTTTAAAAGTTGTGCCAAATCAGGTAAGGAGGAAATGGTATCTTATTGTTATAGTTTGTGTTTATTAGGCTACTCATGATACTGAATATGATCCTCAAGACTATAGAATGTATAGAGCATAAAGACAGAAGTTGTCATTTCATTTCAAAATAGTTTAAACTTATTTTTCAATATTTGCTAAGTCTTAAGAATAGTAAATTTTAAGTTGTCTTAGTTTTATACTGTTGTTCGGTGCATTCAGTTGTCAACTATAGCTTTCTTAGTAAAATTTTCTAGTTTGACAGCCATGTTTAATAGCATTTTTTTTTTACTCCTTTTTCCCAAAGAGCTCTTAAAAATATGATCTTATTTGCCTGTGATAATCGGAAGGGGCCCAGACATTATCATGAGCAGTTGGTTTTTTTTTAGTAAGTATTTTAGTACAGAATATTTAAGAATGATTTGTAATAGGTTATATAATCAGCTGTGAATTAAATCTATAGCCCATTCAGCTTAACATCTTAATTTTGGCCTCTAATGTATGTTAAACTCTTTATCTAAAATGGCCTTGAGGATTAATAACCCCGGCAAATATAAGTTTTTAAGATAGGGTTAGGCTGTGGCAGACTTCAGAGATGGCAGCACTCTTTCCCCTAAATCTGCCAAGATCATGGTTTTTATTTTACTTTATTTTACTTTATTTTATTTTTTAAATAATTACATGCTGAAGGTTCTAACACTAATTGATCTTTTCCCAGTCTGCCCAACTGGTTAACATTCCCTTGGAGCCAGCTCACACCTGGGCTCCACTGACTCCTTCTGAAGAAGCTCTGCATGAGGATTTACTTGGAAGCAGAGTCATTCTGGCCCCAGGTTGCTAGAACTATTCAGCCAGTCCCATACATGCTTTAAATCTTCCTTGAAACCTGGCCCTCCACAGAAAAATCATTGTTTCTCCTGCAACCATCTCAAGTGCTTGTCACTTTCTTGCCCTGGCTGCTTCTAAATCATTACTCCTCCCTCTTTATGTAGATACCTTTGGCTTATTTAAGGCTTATACCCTCTGACAATACTGTCTTCCCTTTGTCATTTTCATCTTTCCACCTACTGGACTTTCTGCTCATTCACAGAGGATTTCTGAAGCCCTAAGCAACTATAGATGCCCTAACCTCATAGGTTAAAGAGATCAAGAAACTTCAATTTTTACTGTATATATCACCTCAGACCTCTCTAATGCCAGAGTAGCAGTTATATACACAAAGAGAATTTATAATGAAAACTGATGAATCGTATTCATATTGTTGCTATACTGAAGAATATGAATTTTATCTTTCTGAACTCTGCTTGAAAAATGTCTCATTTGTTAATTACTATATAAAAATATTTGGTTGAAATTGCAGAATTGTACAATGCAAAAGATAGAAAGATGACTCAAGGCTTACTAAAGTCCAGTCTGCATCCTTGCTATCTTCCAAAGGAAGAGAAGACATATATAAAGAATTGGTTGTTTAAAAAAAGGAATTAGAGAGAACTCCAAATGAAATAAACTCACTATAGAAAATAAAAAGAAATTTGAGAAAATCCTAGTTCATTCTTCAGTGTGAGTAGAGAAGATAGGTGAGAATCCAAAATAAAACGATCAAAAGAAAATTCTGATCAAAGGATCATACACTCAATATAAGGGAGAACAAAGACCCACACCTAGACAGAGATGAAGTTTCTGAATACCAAACATAAATCATACATCCAGACAGAAGAAAACACATCACAGCCATGCACACACACACACCAGGTTTGCATCAGATTTCTCCTGTGCTGTACTAAAGGCCAGAAGGCAGTGGGGAAATCTTCGGAGGCTAGAGCATTCTGAGTCAAATAGATGACACAGCCAAGCTGTTGTTCATTTGTGAGTTTATGGGAAAAGTCAAAATAAAATGAGCAGCAGTGAACAGTGAAACCAGGAAAGCATAGAGTACATGCCTGAGTACTTCCTGTTAATCTTTTTAAAACTAAATTAAAAAAAAAATCTTTCAAAAACAAATATAATTTTTAAACTATAATAATGTGGACAATAAGTAATTCTAATAAAATTGAATTTGTTTTAATTACAAGAAGAAAAAAGCCATAACTTTTAGATTTCTAATTTCAAATGAAGCAAAAGAAACTTAAACAATATAACAAATGATAGGGGAAAGTGGAAACAGCAAGAATGTGTAAAAAACAAAGTATGAGGACAAAAATAGGACCAATAGGAATATTGCAATAAATAAATAAATGCAATGGATTAAACATTCTTACTAATACCATGACACCATTTTCCAAAACCATAAAGGAAAAAGGGAAAATAGATTTAACTTTTAAAAAAAGTCTGGTCATCCAGAGACCATTAATAAAATTCAGTGACAAACCACAACTTGGGAACGATGTTTATAAAATATGTGATAGGATAATTATCTGTAATTTGTAAAAAGCCCTTACGAATTGAAGAAAGAAAGATGCCTCAATAATAATACTCAATGTTAGGGAAGTTCTGGTGGGAAAGCACAGTTGGATAACCTTTCTGGAGTTCTGTTAATGGATTAAGTAATGCAAAGATACAGCTGCAAGACTGTTCCTCTCAGAGTTATAGTAATGGAAATTAGAAGCAACCCAAATATTTACCATTGCAGCTGACTTAAGTGAGTTACAGTATGTCCCATATAATGGAATACTCTTCAGCCATTTAAAAAAGTGATGCAGAAATGGTTATTCAGTATGAAGAAGTTACTAGTCCATTAAATGAGAAATGCATAAATTACAAAACAACACATGAAGTAGAATCCTGTTTTTATATAAAATTAAACATATATATGTGTATATATAGGTTTGCATAGGAAAAAAGTTTGGAATAAAGTATTCTCCAAAATGTTTGCTGTAGTTAATGATTACTAAAAGAAAGGAGAGGCTAGCAAGGAAGCTGGGGCTGTTACTGTTTAAGCATTGTAGGAAAAGGAATTAAGTAAGCTTGAGTAAACTGAAGGAAGGTATATATAAACTTGGAGAATGATGTGGAATGCTCTTGTTTTTAATCAGTGACCAAGATATTTTAGGTTTTTTAGTACCAAAATTGAAAAATATACTATGTAGTACTGATCTTATACTATAAAATATGAGATCAGATTTATCTGGTCAAATATCCTTTTCTATGTATTTTTGAACAACTAAAAACATTCCTGAGTAGACCTTAAATAAAAACAGATACATTGCATATAGTAGATGCTCAGTGTTGTTTCTGAAATTGTGTTTTATACAGAGAAGGTGACCACAAGTACCTATATCCTAACAAAATCTATATTTTTGATTTGTCCTTTTGGGGTTTTTTCCTTACTCTTTCATCAACAGCTCACTTAAACTGTGACTTTTTGCTTTCTCCTAAGTTTGGCCACATTGAAGAGTTGACTATTGTACAGTAGATTTCACTTATTTCAGCCTTTTGATTCCAGTTTCCTCATGATCAATTTTTGTATCAG